CCTTTAAAATACATTTGAAATAAAACGGATGGCAATTCATTGATTACCACCAAATGGACATGAAAATTGATAGGAGTCAAGAGATACCACTAAACAGAATAAGATGCGATTTGTTCCTTCACGCCCTATTCAATGTTCACAACTTAATTTAATACTGTAAATTCGTTTCATTAGATTTCATTTCTATGAAAGCTAACTATGAAAATTATGTTTGGTGAAGTCCAAAATCAGTTAAGGTGCCATGATACTTTACAGGAAATGACAAAACAGGAAGTGATAAGAAAATTTGCATTTTTAGACATTTTTGAACAAAGATAATAGAGTTCTGTTTTGACCTCCAGTCAATTCAACTAGTTCCACATACCATTTACAGGTCCAGGATCACAATGTTCATGGTCAGAATCAGAATGACCATAAACATGATGAAATAACCTTATCAGCCCTCTGAAAATGTGACTGAAAAAATAGCTAAAAGTAGGAGGTTTGAAACTTCGCTGAACATAATCTTTTGAATTTTTCAGAAAATGTGCCCAATATATTGCTCTTAATGATACAATCTTTGAAAATGTGATATCATTCAAAGAAAAAGAAAAAATTAGATTTGAAAAGTGATCTATTTTCCTTTTTATGACCGCCATTTTTGTTTCCGACAATCTTCTGAAAGTTCAAAGATTGTATCAGTTAGAGGATTATATTGGGCACATTTTCTGAATAATTCAAAAGATTCTGTTCAGTGACCTTCCCTAGCTCCTACTTTTAGCTATTTTTCAGTCACATTTTCAAAGGACTGAAAAGGATATTTCATCATGTTTAGGGTCATTCTGACCATGTACATTGTTATCGTGGTCATGTAAATGATATGTGGAAGTAGTTAAATTGACTGGAGGTCAAAACAGAACTTTGTTCAAAAAATGTCTCAAAATGCAAAATCTTTTTTCACTTCCTGTTTTGTCATTTCCTGTTAAGTATCATGGCACCTTAATGTTTTTTTCCAAACGCAGATTCATTTCAGTTTATTCATGAGGATTAGGATTGTATTTAAATGTAACGAGCATGGACCCTTGACAAGCAAGCACATTTGACTTTTTAGCTTAGTTAACATAATCATGACCATAAACATATTCCTGTTTTTCTCTTTCAACTCTTAATGGTAATCCGACTTTTGGAATTTCGTAGGAAAGAGAATTTTGTTACTAATGTTCGTAATTGGCATTTATTTTCCACTTCCTGTGATCTTTATTTCAACTGACAGTGAGAAAAATTTAAGTCGAACCTACACAAATTGGGCACGATATGAAATCTATTTACATAGCATTTAGTGGAGATTCGACGATACTTGATGATGATGTTTTGCCCCGCGGGGTTAAAGTGTGTTGATGTGGACATTACATTTCGGACAAGATGACATCTCAGACCAAAGTACTAGTCCTATGAGACCCACGAGAAGAAAGAACACATGTCAACGATAACATTACAATTCGGAGATGATGTCAAACCAATTATAGAAAATAAGAGCATTAGTAGTGCCACTCAAATTCTAAATGTCTTCTTAAAAAATAAATTGCATGATTGTATTATGAAAATAATTTTCGCAAAAATAAATTAAATCAAGCTCTTTACGTCACAAATAGGGATGAACTTATTAGGCCTTCAAATCTAATCAACCGTTTGGGTCAAAACGCCTACCACTTGTTTGACTTGTCAACCTCTACATAAGAGGTAATTAAAGAAAAAAACTGATTCATTTAGAATTATTTTCCAAACTGTAGTGTTTGCCCAATCTTTAAAAAATCAAGTAGAGCAATTGTTGAAAATTATAGACCTGACACACTTTTAAATGCTTTTTCAAAGATTCTTGAGAAAGTTTTTCATGCTCATATTACAAAACACATCACAAGATTGAGCCTTATGTATGAGAAACAATCCGGTTTCTTAACAGGACATAACACTGAGCTGCAACTCATTGCTATTGTCGACTATATCTATAATCGATTTGAAGACGGTAAAATGGTAAACTCTTGCTTTTTGGACATTTCGGCTGCTTTTGATACAGTTCCTCATGCTCTGCTCCTTCACAAATTAAATTCATTTGTTTCTGTTGATAGAGTAAAGACTAAATTCTCAGACTATGGCTTTATAAACACAGGTGTCCCCAAGGCTCGGTCCTTGGACCGCTCCTATTTCTTCTTTACATAAACGATTTACCTAATCATTCAAAATCTGAATCTTTTATATAATATGCAGACGATACGGATGCATAGGCAGACGTTGACTCAATTCAAAATCAAACTCAAGATTTACAGTGTGACATTCATCAAATAGAACAATGGTCTGCCAAGTGGCATCTTAAATTCAAAGTCTCTAAGAGTGCACATATGATTTTTTCTCCAAATCGGTGGAGCTGCTTTAAACTGCTCAGGAGCTATTCATGGTTCAAACTTCAAATACATCAAATACCCATGATTGTTTGAAATGGAAATCCCTTGATGATAAAAGAAAGTAGGATGTTTAAAGTTTCAAAAGGTCTCCAATGTATATAAATAATATTTTCAATAAATACAACGTAACACCAGTAAGAGTACTTAGGAGATCTTTACAATATAAAATACCAACTAAATCTGGTTCTAGAATTCGAAGAAAAATCCATCCCGACCATCTCCACTTTTAAGATTAATTTAAGAGGAAATTTAAACACTGGATCAAATTTCAATACTACAAGCAAACTTAATTAATCAAGAAAGCATGGAATAGCCCTAAATAAAATAAGATGTGACCTAAAATCACAAAAATTCTCTCGTTATTTTACAAAGATTGATAATAATCTATGTGCTTGTGGTAAGCCTGAGACACTTAAACATGTATTTTTCTCCTGTGAGCGCCATAATCTTCAACGACAACAGCTAATGACCACCCTAGAGCAGAAGAAGCTATATCTTAACCGATTTGGGATTGATTTTAGGTGTGCTCATCAGTAATATATTTTTCTGGTTGAGGTTTAATCAACCTCAATTTTGAGAAAATGAGAACTTCCCGAGATATGCACCATCTTCATTATCACAGAAGAACACTGATTGATTGAGCCTCAACCAACAAAATTATGTACGGGTGTGTATGTGTATTTTCAATTCTAATTGGTTGGAATAGAGGTTCTTAAACAAGAGATTTTACCCAACCGATGCCTTTCTGACAGGTTATCACCACCTGGTAAGATATTTTAAATTATTATAATCTGTTACAGGGACCGATAGTTCAACGTCGTTAAACTCAATAACGGCGTTCTTTACTATTAGGAATTTTCTTATTTCCGTTATTGAGTTTAACCCCCTTACTGCTCTTTCCTTTATTGCAAGAACTGGATCCATCAAAACCATTTTTTCCGCGATAACATGCAACTGATACTTGACAATAATCAAGCGATTTAACACAATATCATTGTGTTAAATGTTCATTTATACTAGTAAAATGAGGCTACACTTACCAATCTCTAAAATGAGATTTTCGCATATCCGTAATTGTGTCTGTTCGTCCGCAGGTGTCCCGGGTGTCCCGGGTTGAAATTAAATTATTAGCGAAACGAAATTGTTGTAAAATGGATTGATAATTATTATCGCGATTACTCGGGATAAAAAATTAATTTAGAGGATAACAGGTATCTTTGATTGATTTATATAGCGCGTGTGTACACGCAAATGGTTATCAATTGCAAACCTACTGTCTGTTAATGCAGTGCCGCAATGAGGGTTAATTTCTGATACGATTTGCAATTTCGATGTTACCAGAACCGACCGACATTTTCGTTATATTCCAAACCTGTCTCCAATATTTTCGTAATTATGCATCAATAGGGTCTAAGGGGATACGAGATGGTGTGTATGTATTCAAACGGTATGTATGCATGCTTGAATCACATTCTTTATGCAATATTGCCATGTTTTCAGGATTTAATTCGTTCCGCTTGTCGAAACCTGCGGAACGATTAAATTAACGCATCAAAGGCAAAATGATCGTGGAGGTTAGACCTAGCCAGGGCCATAAGACATGTCAGATAAGAAACGAGGCCCAGGCTCAGTCTAATGTTGTTGGACTAAGGGACCGATTGATAGACACCAACGCCGAACACCTGTTACAAAATTATGGAATGTAGAAAAAGGTAAAGATGGGGAAACTAATAATCCATCATTTTAATTCCAAATAGCTTACGTTTCTGTAAAAATATTCTGAGCATGCCCAACTATATCTTATATCATAAAATAGGATACATAAACGCCAAATATGGAATCACATGTGAAAATACACTTTAAATATATTTTCATTACACTTTGTATTTTTATATCTTTACATATTACAATAACGATAATTACAGTTGTATATTGTACATGTTATCAAGCTTTATTTACAAAAGTAGTACGTCTTTAATCTGCATTGTTTTGAATGATTTGTCTGAGGATTTTAGCCCTGAACTGAGTACATTGTGGACCAATCATCATTCCTCAAAGGTGATATTTCAAACTCCGCATGCGCACGAGATGCGAGAGCTGTGTTTAAGAAACATCGCCTGGGTGGAATGAATCAACCAAATGCATTGAGTCTTGGGATTAAATCCTTTTCACACACTGCAAGAAGTTCACACAATATCACGTAGAAGATTCGAAATGATCCAAAATAAAATTTTCAAGGAAACATTTGCAAGAGTCAAGGTGTCATCCTGGCAACCATTCAACCATTTGACCTACAATGCTTGGGTCATATTTGCTCCGATTCATCGACTGGCCAATTGCAGTATTTTGTTCACTGATTTGAATTTGCTTCAAATTGATCAATCCTTTTTGAAATCATGTGCAAGTTCTCAGGAGGTCCCATCTGACCTCAAATTTGAGATTTGACCCTCAGTTTTGAACAAAATACTCAATCGGCCGGCTGATGAATCGGAGCAAATGTGGCCTAGGCATAGGCACTTGACTTGTTATTCTCTTTGATACTACTTATATATTTTTACTCATCTTTAGAATTTATCAGTTATCTGTTTCATTAGTTTCACTAGAATCTAAAAATGAACTTGAGTGCATTAGAGAATTATATTGCAATGCAGGTATGTGAAATAGCGTGCTCTGATCGACTGGAATTAGACACGTACACTTACAATTTCACATTTCGCTCGCTCAGACGAACCATTTTTCTCAGGGTGATATGATGCTGGTCTCTTTAATACAACATTAATAACATACATGCCCACAATGTTTTCTCTTAACGTTTTGCTGTTCTATTCTCAACAATTCTGAGAGATCATGTGTTACGGATAATCTAAGATTATCATTTCACGTTTTAAAGGAATTTGCCCACTCCCCCTCTCAATGGTTTTTCAGAAACCTATGGATAAAAACTCTTGTTATACCTTCATACTCAATGGGGCAACTAAATATTATGAAGGGGAGAATTAACTCCAAGAAGACCGCGAACAAGTAAAACGTTTTCCTTAACCCTCCTAATACAGAGCAACCTGCAACATGATATACGGAATCCATATAAGACACTGACGTCGTTGGTATGATTATCTCCCTTGCTGTCGCCTAGTCATATATTTGTCGAGATAAAATAGCATTTGATATTAAAATGTTTACGTTATCAATGATTTCTCGTTAAATACAGAAAAGCGTATTTCCTCTAAACGAATAATACAGTCTTAGGCACAAATTTTGTACGTTCTTCACCCAACACTCTGAATACTTTCAGAGATTTGTTCTCACTTAATACGTTTTCGTTTTACTATCTCTACATATCATATAATTTACAAAAGACGCTGAGCACAAATTTTCACTAAAAATCAAAGGTTATATTACCCTTTACATTCGTTTGACTTCACTTCTTAAAAGAGAGCTTCGTCTTGTAGTTTAACTAGACTCTGCACGCAGGGTAAGGTTATATACAATATAATAGGATACCTCTTTCCCGCGATAACTTGCAATTATGTATTAATGTCGTCGTGAATACTTTAGATCTATATTTCCATTAAACATCCTTGAGTTGGTGATCAAATCGTATTTATTAATTTATATTAAAACATTATTTTCCTGTCATCATGACTATGGTTTGATTTCTAAACTGCTGGATTTTTTCTAAACATCCGTTTCCATAGTGACGTCATCATGAGTTGGTTTTCTCACTATTGTGGTACTTTGTTCATAGTTGTAACATGGAAACGGAGTACTTTGGGTAGATCTTGATACGGATGATGGCGTATTGCTATGGTTGTTAGTAGAATGCCGTGAACTTCTCCATCTAAGTACTCTTGATGATAATTGCTGGTAGCCTTCATTCATATCTTTTGTCCTCAATCCATAAACCAGCGGATCAATTATGAAATGGAAGAACGGGAAAAAGTACAGAAATTCACTGTACACAATATCCATTTGACGGCTAAAGTGTATCCGAAGGACCTTGGTTAAAACGTAGGGAATGAATGATATTACCAGAATCGATGCCATAATAACAGTGCTAAGGAACCATTGATAGTTCTGTTCCACTTGGTGCTCGGAGCGCAATATGGCGGCTCGTCTGCGCAGGCGCACAATGACCATGCAATACAAAATAACCATTGAGAAAACGATCGCTACGATGGGTGGTGGCCATACGTAATTCCATATGTAACAGCTGTCATCTTTACCAGAATATGCGTACGCAGTTGCACAGTATCCTGGTAGTGCAAATAGCCCCGAGACGCACCATATGCAAACTAGGGCAATCAAGGTTTTGTTTTTCGTACACAAGTCATTGTAGCTCAACGGTGAGCAAATCGCTATGTATCTATGAATAGCCGCTACTAGGAGTGTCAGTGCCGAAGCAAAGTAAAAGAAAACGAAAAATACAATGCCGCTCATTATGATATACATAATAGCCTCTGTTGGTACTCGCTGACTATACCACATAATAAAACATCTGCTAACGACATCCAAAAGGTGCGATATCGCACCGAATGCATCAGCAACAGATAGATTTATAATCAACAGGTTATTATAGTTCCATCGTCCCGGAATGTGCAACACCGCTGCTATTGAGAGAATGTTTGCACAAACTGCAAGCAAACAAAGAGTCAAGGAAATGGCAAGCTGACGTTCCAATCTACCCTCGGCATCCGATTGTGAAACGAAACGAGGGATAAATTGTCCGGTTATGTTGGTCGTATTGGCATTCATCGGAAAACCTGTTGTTACATTCAAGTAGGCCATTGTCGGAGTAGCAGGTACTGACGGCATAATCTGAAAAAAGAAGAATTATCTACATGATGTGTTGTCTCGCTTCAGAACATAAATGTCATAGGAGTCCGCAATAAATGTTTCACGTTTCAAATAACGATTAACCTTTCTCTTCTTAACATTACTCTACAGACTTATCATTTGTTATTATTGAAATAATAAACCCGCATCTTTGTATTAATATAATGTATCTGGAATCATATTTTTGTATTTTGGCTGATTTCTGTTCATATTAGTTGATGAAAATTGTTGTTAAGGCTTTTTATATCAGCCAAATTTTGGTTTAGGTTTATCAGACACGTGACCTTTATAAAAGTGAAATTTTATAAAAAGAGATATGATTGGCCCATGTGGCGTCAATATGCCCAATAAATATGCAGTGTGATGTTCTGTTATGTATCTCTATCGTCTAAGTTGTCATGGTTTCGTTGAACACACCTTCTCTGAATAATTAAAATTTGGACAGGCATTCACTTTATCGAAAGAAATTATTAGTATTTCCTCTTTAAACACATATTCAGCAACACATAAAAGACATGGTCTATTATGGCTTTCTTTTCATCATAACATTTTTCGCTGATTGTATCAAATTGCTTAAATATGAAGTCATTCATCGAACTCCTACTCGAAAGGTTAACATTGATGAGCAGTGCAATATTTCAAATATTATTGGGATTAAAAAATTGCTAATTTTGCTCAGATTTGTTTATCACTCGTCTATGTTATTCCATGGGTTCAATGTAGTGTTACGTTTTTTTATAGAATGAACTTTATACACATGTAACGGCTTTGCAATAAAAACATAATAATACCCAAGTAGCTTTAATATGAATGGCTTTAAGTAATAACTCGTCCATGTTAGCTTTAATATGAATGGCTTTAAGTAATAACTCGTCTATGTTATTCCATAGGTTCAATGTGGTGGTAGCCTACGTCTTTTTAATAGAATGAACTTTATACACATGTAACGGCTTTGCAATAAAAACATAATAATACCCAGACGTAGCTTTAATATGAATGGCTTTAAGTAATAACTCGTCTATGTTAGCTTTAATATGAATGGCTTTAAGTAATAACTCGTCTATGTTATTCCATAGGTTCAATGTGGTGGTAGCCTACGTCTTTTTAATAGAATGAACTTTATACACATGTAACGGCTTTGCAATAAAAACATAATAATACCCAAGTAGCTTTAATATGAATGGCTTTAAGTAATAACTCGTCCATGTTAGCTTTAATATGAATGGCTTTAGTAATAACTCGTCTATGTTATTCCATAGGTTCAATGTGGTGGTAGCCTACGTCTTTTTAATAGAATGAACTTTATACACATGTAACGGCTTTGCAATAAAAACATAATAATACCCAAGTAGCTTTAATATGAATGGCTTTAAGTAATAACTCGTCCATGTTAGCTTTAATATGAATGGCTTTAGTAATAACTCGTCTATGTTATTCCATAGGTTCAATGTGGTGGTAGCCTACGTCTTTTTAATAGAATGAACTTTATACACATGTAACGGCTTTGCAATAAAAACATAATAATACCCAAGTAGCTTTAATATGAATGGCTTTAAGTAATAACTCGTCCATGTTAGCTTTAATATGAATGGCTTTAAGTAATAACTCGTCTATGTTATTCCATAGGTTCAATGTGGTGGTAGCCTACGTCTTTTTAATAGAATGAACTTTATACACATGTAACGGCTTTGCAATAAAAACATCATAATCTCCAGGTAGCTTTAATATTAATGATTTAAGTAATATTTTCTGGATAACTATTAACTTCAAAACACCGGGTAATTAATAACTCAGATACGAGTAGGTGGCTACCAGTTTCACCACCAGGTGACTCCTCCGGGTCAGATAGCGTGGCGGGTATAGTAGAAAGTTCCCTTTAATTTAAATATTTATCTGTTTAATGGTTCATATCACCCTTATGTATCTAATAGCTATGCAAATTGAAGTATGCCCAGTTAGTGAAAATATAACCTGTCCAATACAAGAAAAAATATTTTACTTTTTGTAATTTTATAACATGAGCTCTTTTAGACAGGTTCCAATTCAAATAATTCAAGTTTTTGAGGCATTTTTTAGAAAAAGCAACAGACGTATTTTTACTAGATCAGTTTTTCATGCTGATAAAGATATTAAAAGATGACAGCTCAACGGGGTGGTCACGACACTAAATTTTGGCATTTTTACCCCCCCTAGGAAAATATTCTAGGGGGTACTATGAAACTAGTTCATAACTCAAAGGATATATGAGCTATTGTTCTGAGTTGTACACCATACATTGCTAGTACAAATATGAATACTATCCTAAAGTTATGGGTTGATACCCTTATTGGTCTCAGAAAAATACAAAAAACAGGAAAAAGATACGCAATTTTTGTCTTGCCAATTTTATATTTGTAGCTTCAAGCACAATATGACAGCTTTAACAGCTCATAGTAGTATTCTAAAAACATTTCTAAGCTATGTGTGGTATTGTAATACATCTATTTTAGTTATGAAGTACTATTTTGTAATTTTAATATGACTTTATAGTGCCCTACCCCTAGAAAATTGAAGAAAGTGGATGTGGTGAATTTTATCATTTTGCAGCATTAAGTTAGAAACATGTATTGTTAGACACCAAATCAATAAATTCATACCATCATCAAATGTTAGGTGACATTCTAATTCATTTATTACTAGAATATAGGACTTAAGATATTTTATATGTAAGTTTTCAATTAAGTACATGTATCATAATGAAATCTAGTGTAATCACATACTAGAGAGGTTGGCATACAGTCTGGACATTGACATAAAGTCTAAACATTATAATCATCAATTGATCTCATTTGAGCAACTAGACTATGGTGGTCATCATGCACAAGTAATGTACAGTAGAACCTGTTAAGTGGAACACATCTGTAAGTGGAACACCTCCCAAGTGGAACGCCTTTTCAAAGTCCCGTTTTAAAAACCCATTGACTTAATGTTAATTGAACCTCTGTAAGTGGAACACCTCCAAACTTGAACAGTGAACACCCCATATTGAAAAATTAACCTGCTAAGTGGAATAGTCAATTTCCATAGATTTCAATATTGATATATGTAAACAGAATTAATCTCCTTCAATGATATCTGGGTATGAAAACAGGTAATACTGTGATAATTGGCAAATTAGGATTTTAATGGATTTTAATGGATTAGCCTCCTGTAGAGGTCAACATGTGATGCAACCAATAATTAATTTGATAATCAGCAAATGAGGATTTCATAATATTTTCATTCAGAAAATTGGATTAACCTCCTGTAGAACTGGACACGTGATGCTACCACTAATTAATATCCCTTGCTGTTTGTTTCAAACTTAATAAGTAAGATTAAAAATGTCATTTAAAAACAATTGAATTATTAACAGTAGGAGCAAGTCTTTAAAACTTAATTGCCTAATCCTTGTACCTGAGACTGGCACAATTAGGAGGATTAAGAATGTCAGAAAACATTTTTGGCAGAATAAGGAGGATTAAGAATGTCAGATACCTTTTTGAGTTAAATAAATGGATTATTAATGGTATATACCTGCCCTGTAATGAAGGGAGAATCATATTTCCAATGATACATATAAATCCTATATTTGATCTTGTATGTTCCCTGCGAACCCAAAACCTCCGTAAGTGGAACATCTTCTAAGTGGAATGCAGAACGGAGAGTGTTCCACTTACACAGGTTCTACTGTATTTACATAATAATTTTATAAAGGAGCATGTAGGTTATCGCAAACAACTTCAGACAATTATAACTTGAATTATGATATTTTCTGACCATGAACATGGGTATATCTTTTAGATCTATTCATTATCTTCAAGAAAAGTAAATATAATGATTAATCAGACCTAAGTGATATTAAAGGGAATGGCTCAATCAACATACTTTCATACTTTTTACTAAATATGTTGACCTAATTTTTACCAAAGATGCAACCTTTAATTATATTGTTGAATGCATAATTAGAATATGCTTTGAGACATGTTCTATTTCCTAAGAGGAAAAGTGGATTGCTCCAGGGACTTTAAAGACACTGAATTTGGATGACCAAAATGAACTGAAACCAATGGATAGCATGAATCTTTTCAAAGGGGAAATAACATGGGGAACACTAATCTTATGGGAATTCAGTTTTCTTTTCAAGAGCTATTTGATACATTAAAATAAAGAATAGTAATGCATTAAACATTGTTAAAATGATTGCATTTTTGGTGAAAATGAGGTCAACAACTTTGAAAAAATATATTGATGGGTTGATTGCTAGTGAAATATCTCCGAGTCCGATTGACTTTATTATCCCTGTATACCCGTCTTCATGGTCAGAAAATAGTCATAATCAAAGATATAACTGTCTGAAATTGTTTGTGATAACTTACCTGAACCTTTCCAGGTCAAATCAGGAGTGACAAAATTATTTCAACCAAATTTTTGACATGTCTTCAAATACGATAATATTTTCTTCATAAGATAGAGTGTCACTTGTGAAATTCATTGATTGACCTGAGATCGTACCATATCTTTATGACAGAGAAGCGAAATAGCCATATTGAACTTTAATGATGTTTGTTTAATTGTTGTTTGCCACTTTTCGACAATTGTCATTTGGGGGTTTTGGGGGAGGGGTACAATAAGGTTAAAAAATTCACCTGATTCAGACTATCCTTAAATGAGCACTGATTCACCCGAGAGCATAACTTTTTCAAAACATGTAAGTGTTATTTTGGACCACTCACATTAATGTTTCGTCTAATTTTCCCTTAGAGTTTCATCATCATTGTCCAAATCTTTGTTGAGATATTTGAGATATATGAATGTTCATTATTAAAATCTTGCCTTCCTTTGCAGTTGGAAAAGATTCGGCATTAGGTGTTATAAGTCCCAGAGCACGATAAATAAATATAAAATAACAACAAAATGACATAAAACTGATAGACGTTTTTCTCCTGTGCGTGTCAGCCTTG